TGTGTTTATGGTACTCAATTAGAGAGACAAATTGAATTATGTTCAAATCTTTTGACGGCATTTTATTTTCCCGAATTTTTTTTCTCAGAATCGACCCTTATAATTAGATTAGCTCGAGAATTCAAAACAATAACATAGAAATATTGAGAAAAAAGTTTCGAGTGTTTATGTTTCCTAATTCGGGGGACAAATTGAATTAGGCCACAACTTCTCCATCTGCATTTTATTCTCGAGATTTTTTTTCTTGGAATCGATCCCTCGATTTTAGAGGTAATTCTTTTTCTCTTAAATAAAATAGTCGGGAGTCCCCACCGAGTGTCTCTATTTTTTCCGCATTTTTTTTCTCGGAATCGACCCTTATAATTGGATTAGCTCGACTATTCAAAACAATAACATAGAAATATTGAGAAAAAAGTTTGGAGTGTTTATGTTACCTAATTCGGGAGACAAATTGAATTAGGCCTCACCCCTTCTGTCGGCATTTAATTCTCGAAAATTTGTCTCTCGAAATCTATTCCAGAGGTAATTCTTTTTCTCTTAAATAAAATAGTCGGTAGTTCTCGACGAGTGTCTCTATTTTTTCCGAATATTTTTTCTCGGAATCGACCCTTATAATTGAATTAGCTCGAGCCTTTAAAAAAATAAAATCCGAATATTGAGATAAAAATTTCAAATGTTTGCATGACCTAATTTAATTTAAAGAGACAAATTGAATAATATTATTATTATTATTATTATTATATTATTATTATTTATTGACGAAAAATAACACATTAAAAATCCTGTAACCATTTACCACTAATTTTTTTATTCATAAAATTTAAAACCATTTCTAAAACATTGCGAATTTATTCCTTGATCAACACGAGTTGAAGCAGAGGCATGACCTTCAGCGACGATAAATCAGCAAGTACCGCCTGAAAAAAAAATCCTCCAAAAAATATGACCCCAGCAACAGTAAAACCACAAAAACCCGTCGTACCTCCACATTATGCAGATTATTAACTTGCAAAAGATTTTCCTTCCTGAAGCTGAGAATAGTGACAGCCAACAACGAGATGATCTCCAGCGAGTCATACCCCAAAACGAGATCCCAGAGGTAGAGCAATTGCTCCGGTGGGAGATGCCCGCTAAATCCTCTCATCAACCACTTGAAAACAACTTTAACCCTGAAAATAATTTATCGATAATCCTCAATAAATTCTATTTCCCTCTAATTAAAATAAAACTCACGGTTGTATCTGCATGTTACGAAAATGCGCCCAGAGCTGGGGCTCATGACACTGCAGCAACCTCTCGAAGAGGAGACACAACGCAACAACTCCCTGTTCATGACTCGATACTGTATGAAGTCGAAACCAATATCGAAGATAAAAAGCTCGAAAGGTATAGTACATCGTGCAGGGATCGTCGTAAAGATAACAAAAAGGTGTAGCTGCGAAATTAAAAAACAATTCCATTAAAATTATCGTAAATTCGTATAAATAAATTATCAATTATAAAATAATTTAAAATAATGAATTTTCCTGCAAGTGCACACACCATACATTGTGAATCCATGAAAAGGAATGACTCCACTCGGTGGAAACACCAGAGTGTTCTCCAGTGCTGCAGGTTTTCCCTGGAGTACCGCATGAATTACTTGTCCCCCTGCACTCCTGTCAGTGGTGACAGGTGCCAAGACTTCAGAATCCCTCGAGAAGCAGAGCATCGTCTTGTAAAGCACATCCTCGAAGACGAAGTACTGGTCGTCATTGCTGGCTGTCAGCTGGACATCTTTAATTATCAATTTATCCACCATTATGTCGTACTGCAGGACCATGGACTTCAGCTCCTCGTAGTATTCGATATCCTGGAGATATCGAAAAAAAAATGAAGTCTTGAGGTCGTTAGTGATCTTTAGCAGGACGTCCAGGTGTTTCTCACCAAGTATTCCCTCGGAAATGATTTTTCACTGACTTTTTTTTAGTTTAATGGGTTATTGATACGATAAAAAAAATATTACGGTATCTTTGACGATGGATCCGAGAACTAGAGACCAGAGTTGACCCCTCAATGCTCTCGGGGCTCCACGTTTCAAGAATTCCTGAGCTATGGGGGCATGATTCAAGGACAGGACTCTCTCCCCTAGAACAGTCCTCTCTGCCTCGAGATTTTGAAAATTCCCCGCTGCTGGCATATCGTTATTCACACCGAGGAGTGCGATTCCTTGTGATAATTCAGCATAAGTTTCTCTCTGGAAATAATTACATTAACACCTGCAATTTACCAGAATGCGCTATTTATTTAAATACATTTGTTAATGAATTATCCACGAATAGATCAAAAATTCTCTTCGCGCCGTCATATGTAACGACAAAAATTGTGCAGATTAATTATTAATAATTGATAATACCAATTGCGCAAGCTGCTTCACACGTATTTGAATATGACTGAACTCCCAATTGGGATCATTGATGATTTTTTTGAAAGCCGGATCTCGAACGGAGAAGAGAACCTCAAGAAAATCCTTGGGTGCGTACAGGGGCCGGTACTGCGATAAATCTGATAATAAAAAGATGAAATTCAAATTTAAGTATTCACTGGTACTCGGATACCACCCGAATCACTGACGGCGTCGGAAGACGTCCCCACGTGACGACCGGACGCCCAATGGGAGGCGCGTTCTCGTGGAATTCGCCAATCATTGGCGGATCCACTGGGTACGCCGTTGCGCGATAAAAGTACGAATATTTTCAAAAAAAAATAAAATGGAGAGTCGATCTCTCGATCTAGTGCAGAAGGAGGTACTCACCGATGTCGTAAGTACTCAACTCATTCCATTTCTCCGCAAGTTCCTCTTTATCAGCATTAGGCCGAATCCTGGCGAGAGGAACATTGAGCTCATTGCACATAGAATTGAGAGACTTCTGGATCCTCCTCTCCCACTGGATCTGGGCCTTCCTGAGGTAATTGAGATCGGCCTCAGGGGCCCTGACCTCCGGCTTGGGCCGCAGCTGACCCTCCGACACCAGAACAAATGGTTTTTATTTTTGAATTTTAAAATGATTTCCGAAAACCCCGGGAATTAAAAAAAATCGGTATTCACTTGAGATCGAGCCCAGTGGAACACAGTGTTCCTGATTTCCGTCTCGAGACCGTTGTCCTTGAGCGCCTCGGTGAGGGTTCCCTTGAAGTTATCTCTTCGGACGACATTCGAGGCGACGAGTCTCTGATGACACGAGAAAAAAATTAAATCCTGAAACCTGATATCACGGGAATCGCTGAAAACCGTCAAAAATCGCGAACCTGAATTTCGTTGTAAAGATTTTTATAATTGCTCATGGATTGTATCTCGTCGGTGAGTTTCTGCGCTGCCTGGTCGACCTCCGGGTCCTCAGGTCGTCCCTCCATACCCCCCAAACGATTTCTACCACCCCGAGGAACCCCCAGATACCGATTTACCCCTGAAAATCACCCCGAACTCGATTAAACCGAATTTTAATCGCTGAGTCGAAGAACGACGCCATTTGTAAATAACCCTGGTTTCCCGGTGTATGACTGCGCACCGAAAATGGCGCCTGGCGGGAAAGTCGTTCTCTGCTGTATCGAGCATCAGGGGTCCCCAGAAAATAATTCCACGGGATTGAAAACTGATAATCAAATATTCAGAGAAAATGAGCTTGAGTTATCAATAAAATTTGGAGATTTCTGGAAATTAAGTGGATGCTGGCGACACCGGAAATCCGCCATGTTGGGCCCCATTGTTTTAGAGCTTTGTTAAAATGCGTAAAAGAAGGCGATCGTGATGCCTCGGCGGAAGCAGCCGGGGCTCGTGCAAGCCGCTATTCCGACCCCTCAGCAATAAATCTCTGAGGTGTCGAGGAAGTACTCTATTTTTTTCCCCCATTTTTTAAAAAAATTCGCAAATTCTCGATCGAGTGTTTTGAGTCGTGTCGTTGAGGCCATTATGAGAGAGAACTGGGCCCGCTAGGTTGGGCCCGAGTTAAAATGGAGGTGATGGCTTTTGTCAGTGTTTTCACGAATTCCTTCGTGTGCACTGCTTGATTTCGAGTTATTCGGCAGGTATTGCTGGTGAATCGTCTTGGAATGGATATTGCTAGTCTGCTGGAGGTGCAGGTCAATGAGGAGCCGCTTTCTGAAGGTAGGGGATTTTATTCGGTGTTTGATGCTGTTGGGAGATGAATCCACAACCCAGTTAACCTCAATTTATCATGATTTTTTTTTTCGCTCAGCGCTGCCGGGGGAGAGTAAGGATGAGCCTAAGGTACTCAGGGCCTCGGAGTTTGTCAGTCCCGAGGAGAAACACTTTCGCAAACTTCTCTTTGGACAGGGTGAGGTTTTTTCTTGGTTTTAGCGGCGGTTTTCTAGTTTCGAGGAATTAATGCACGTCGGCAAAGGAGAGATCTCGGGATGACTCTCGCCGTGAAATATTCTCGTTTTTCTTCTCGGAAAATTATTACTCCAGAAATATTATCGTACATAGTTATGAAATGTATGTAATTTTCCCTCGGAAAAATAAAAAATAAAATTGTAAAATTCTAGATCTCGCAAAAGTGCGATTCCGTAGACTCCACTGCACATCCTGTGACACCCACATCGGATCAGCTCCAGCTGAGGCTTATAACATGCAGGAACACCCAATTCTGAAAGTCCTTTTGTGTGCAGCCTGTCGTGAATTCTATGGAGATGGCACCTTTGAGCAAGGTAAAGACCATTGACACTGGAAAAATATCAAATATTGCGTGAAAAAATTATTAAATAAAAATGAATCAGGTGACGATGCCACTGACATGTTCTGCCGTTGGTGCGCCAATGGTGGTAATTTGTACTGCTGCTCCTACTGCAGCAACACATTCTGCCAGAAATGTATCAGAATAAATTTCGATGCTGACGTGCGAAAGCAGATCGAGGCTGACGAGAAGTGGAAGTGTTTTGTGTGTTATCCAGCACCACTGTACTCCCACAGAGCTGTCTGTTGGGCTCTTCTGCAACACGTTAAGACACTCTCCAGGTAAAATAATCAATTGATTAATTTAATTAATTGGCATTGAGTCATCAACAGCAGAAGCGATTCCTCACGTAAAATCTTCACATAAATAAATTCCAGGATATTGACAGCAGATCGTGTGATGACACCAAAGGAGATCCTCGCAAAAATGGAATTGGACGACGCACAGTGTTGTCCAGGTCGAAAAGCAAAACGAAAACGAAAGGCCTCGGTATCGTCCTCGGACAACGAGTCAGTGACTTCCAAGACGTCCCGTACCTCCTCCAGAACCCGAAAGAGATCAATAAAACGAAGACGAGCAACATCTGGAGACTCCAATGATACTCCAAACGGTACCAGGTACATCCCCATAGCGCCAAAAAAATCAGACGACGACGACATAACTCATCTGCTGAATCCTGAGCAGACGATGGTGGAGGGCGACGGTGAGACACTGATTCTCCCAGGGAATCCTCGAATTCCATCACTCAAACCAATCAGCACGAGTGCCTTGGTGCGTTCTCCACTGACACGAGGTCCAAGAGTGATCCCAATTCGTCCTCTCAGGAGGATTGAGTCACTGCCACCTGGGGCTACTCCCCAGTTAATCACGAGACTGCCAGGATTTCGAACCGCAGCCCCCATGGTGACGATTCCCACACGTCCTGTTTTGATGTCAACGACTCCTGGTGCCTCTGGAGGGATACGGCGTTCCTTTCCCATTCTGAGAGCTGATAAAAATGATTCTAAACAGCAAACGAAGGCACCACCAAGTGTTATAGACTTGGAGAGTGACTCGGATGACAATTTTATCGGTGAGAGCTCAAGTGTTCAGAACTATCAGGATAATCTGAGTAATCAGATTGATCAGACTGGTCAGATTAAGGATAAAAATCAGACTAGCAAGTCTGAAGAGTCTGAGGGTGCATCAGGCCACTTAGAGACTCCTGACGTCACATATCCCAGGTTGACAGTCAGAAGATTCGATCAGACCATCAGTAACCCCATGAAGGCCGTCGACGAGATCCTCAAGAAGCTCAGGAAGAGGCTTAGACATGAGATGAGCAGCTTCAACAGCTCAGAGGGCAACGACGTCAACTCAGCAAAGACAAAGCTCAAAATCATCAACAGGAATATCAGTAAAATTGTCTCCGAGCTCGCAGTCTTCAACAATACGATGGTGAGACAGTACAAGCCCTGGAAGACGTCATGTATGACTGGAAAGCCTGTGGAGGACTCTACTGGAAAAATTCGTTTGAGAAAGGGCGAGGCGAGCTACAAGATCATACCCCTGGACATGGAGTGCGAGAGGGAGTCCGAGTCTGAGGACGACGAGGAGGAAGTCGAGGAGCACAACTCCATTGATTTTTCGAACAAAATCGTGGAGTTCAATGAGAAGATGACGGTGGATAGAGGATGCTCCGCCAGGGTTAGTACTAAGAACAAGGCCATTCAGGTTTATGATGAGATGTCTATTGATTATGACCGGACTGTTGGGTACTCATTACTCATGAAGGCTGATTTTGATAATGACGAGGGGAAGGAGGTGCAGAAGCCTGTGATCATCGAGGATCACTTCGCTGGGCAGTACGAGGAGCAGTTTATTTTTTATCTCCAGAGACTGGAGGAAGAAGATGAGGAAATGGAGAATACTAGTCCGAAGACCCTGAGGGAGATGATTGATGATGATCTGGCTGCTCAGGAGAAGAGGGAGACGAGGGATTGTGCACTAGAGGGTGAAGAAAACGACAAGGAGAATCCCGAGGAGGTGGAAGTGGTGGTGGAGGTGGAGGAAGTGGAGGAACTGGAGGAGATGGAGGTCGGAGAGGATGGGGATCAGGAAAAAGGGAGTGATGGTGCTGGTGAGGTTGATGAGGGTCTGGAGAAGACTGAACGAGCTGCAGAGTCTTCTGAGGAAGGAAATGCTAATGATGTTGAAGAAATTCGTGGAGAAATCACCGAGTCGGGATGTGAAGAGGAGATTCAGGGAGATAAGGAAGGGGACAATGAGGGAAATGATGGGGAAACAGTGGCCATGGAGGAAGATGGAGATATTAGTTCAGGGGATAAGGACTCTGAAGTTGATCAGGATAAGGAGAAAATTTCATCGAGTCAAGAGGCTAGGAACGAGGAGACTGTGATTGCAGTCAGAGCTCTCATCGAGGATGAGACTCGTGACGGGACATTGAAAAAAAACTGGACAGATGGGGATGACGACGAGTGCACTGTTCTCGAGTGAATTTATCGACGTTCAAATTAAAATGAGGGATTTCCGTTTGTGTAATTGCTGCCTTTTGTAAAGTGCTCGAGTAACTCGACTAGCATAGCTTTTAGAGAGAAATCATTGATCAGCATTTTCTTTTTTTTTTCACTTTTATAAATTACATTATCCTCAGTTCTTCGATCAATCTTGTTTTTGAAGTAGTTTTGTTGATTTCGCACTTGAATTAGTCAAGTTTGTAAATAACATATTTTCTGTATTTTTGGATTCGATGTGACAAGTGTGCAGTAGACACTGGGATAGTGTAAAAAGAATTTTTTTTTTTTAATTGAGACAATTAAATTCTTTCACTGCGTCATTAGTAAGAATTAAGTGATGTATTCTGTATATCGACACAGTATACTGCTGGGATGAAGCAGAATCAATTCCTCATTTAATGTATTTCGTCGTTAGGATATTTTCAGGACGAAGAGAGAATAATTCGTGATTCTCGTATAAGTAATTCGAATAAAAAATTGGAAAATTCGATGATAAGGATTGGAGTCATAATTATTTAAGCCCTCATCAAATTATTCCTCCTAATATATCACTTCATTATCCTAATTAATAAAAATAATAATATTTGCGTTATTAAATCGTTTTTTATTATTTTTATATTTTTATCTGTATAAATTAGGAACTACGTGGAGTCATAAATGTTTCATCAGACCATTAAAATTTATTCATAACTCCTCATACAGTAAAAAATTACACCTTTTGGATAACATCTTTCGGTAATGACTCTGAATCTGTAAAATAATAATACAAGTAGAAAATACAGACTCCAGGAGTACGATTTTTGGTCTAAAGTGAATAATAAAATTCCCAGGATAAATAAATAAATACAACTTCATGCTTTAGACTCTGGATACGATTGACATTTTGTAGGGTATCAAAAAATATTGATTCGTAATCGATTAAAATGTACGAGACGTGGCAATAAATAGCTTCTTATCAATCTAGATTCACGTGACAATCCGATAATTTAGGAAAGTTCTCGTTATTTGCGCTCAATCCACGATTGAACAGACGACCGTGGATGAGTCGAATGCCAGGGGCTCTCCGAGGATTTTCTCCTCTCCGAAGTGTCTCAATCTTGCTGTCAGCAAGGTACAGGCATTCATCGAGGTCCCCAAAGAGGCCCAATTTACCTCATTCCATTGGTGTTCTTCTAGTATCGAAACTGGCCCTTTTTGCCCATTCCATTGTGATACACTCGCAGTGGGGTGTAGCGTCCATTTCCATTCATACCTAGAGAACAGAATTACAAACTAAAATGGGGAGACACGTACAGAATTTTAAAATAGCTAAACCCAAATCTATCTTAAATTCTAATCGGTATCTAAATTGAAAATCCAGTGCAAAACTCACACAAATTCTTCTCATGTTCTCGCAGTGCAGCTTTGCGAAGAAAAGAAAAGAAAAAAAAATCACCAAATGGATGAGTTCCCTCTCACTTGATCCCCCACAAAGAACAAATTACCTTGAACAACGGACGGTGTATTCCTGCTGCCCTGAACATTCTGTGCATGACACCTCGGCTTGAGAACTCCATGATAAACGATGAAGTAAACAACTGCAACAATAGCAGCAGCAATAGCCATGCACTGATACACGAGTTTGATTGATTCGACGTCAGTCTCCCCGAAGTCGATGTAGGCAGCGATAACAGCACCGAGACACCTGCCCACGCAGAAATGAGCAACAACAGGTAGTGCCTGAGCAGTGACAGTGAGATGCCTGGGGATGAGGTGCCTGAGATAAAGAATGGCAGTGATCCACATGATACCAAGTGTAAATAGTTCAAAGGCCTCAGCAGCGAGAGCCCACCAGGGATGATTAACGAGACTCAGCCCAGTGAATCTCACGATATACATCGTAAATGCTATTATCAGGAGATTGCTGTGTCCACAGTAGTCGACGAGGTGTTCAGACCTCCAGAGGAATACAATAGCTGGTACTGCACCAACAGTGAGAACAACACCCACTGTCAGGGCATCAGCTTGAAGATTTGACAGATGAAGTGGCAGATACGAGTCCATTGCACTCCAGAATGTACCCAGGATCATCATCACCAGGACAAGTGCAGCGGTTTCACTGCCATAACGTTTAACTGCACTCATTGGTACAGCCAGCATTCCTGATCTCGTGTGCCACCACCACTCGGGTGGACTCAGGGGCATTCCACTGGAGGACAGCGATACCACAGCTGTCAACACCATCAGCACGACGTGAAGGACTATTGGCAGGAGATACGGGGGCCGAGGTGATGTCAGGGTGTTCAGGTAGCCCGAGAGAGAGCCGAAGGTGGCAAAACCCAGAGAGCCAAATGCCAATTGTCTACCCACGTCACCACGTCCACAGGATGTCTCTCGTGTTGCTATCACCATCGCTGCGTCTATCAGAGCAACTCCAGCTGTTGGAAATATATCAGCTAGGGAACGAATCGTTATGTACATCCAGAATGTCATCTCTGGATCACCTGCCACCTGACTGCACTGGTTCTCTGTGTCGATGTTCACTGTGGCAATTGTAAATATTTTTTTTTTGTTTTGATTAATTTATTATTCTCTCGGTTATTCAAACCAAAAAAAAATTCTGAGGGTAAACAAAAGGAATTGAGTGCAAGACGTTGATTGCATGTGATGATTTTTTTTTCCAGGAAAAAGTGGATAAATTGCGGGAAATTAATTGAATAATTAATTTGATTTTTAATGATAGAGAGAAATTACCTTGCAGCATGGACGGATCGAGTAGATCGCACTCAACCGTGCACGAGCCGTTGTACCTGATTTCCAAATCATTGGGAATTCTGCAGTGGCTCTCGGCGATGGGGTAGGCACACCAGTCCCCTCGCTCTCGGGCGTTGCTTGCCACCTGGAAGCTCGCTTGAATTGACAAACTCCTTGAGGCATTCGTGTAGACGTGACAGACGCGCTCCTTGCCATTGTCAAAGCACAGGTGAGGTGGTGCTTTCTCAGCTGACACAAATCTCCGGTGTTTCGGGGCATTGTGTCGGTCCTTCAAATAAATATTCGAAATCTTTGTGGAGGAGAGAATAGAGTGGTATTGTTCGGATCAGTCAATGGAAATCTCTACTTGTATTTTTCTCTGGTTTTCCGTTTTTGTAAGAAAATTATTTTTATTTTTTATAATTTTTAAAATTTTTTATAATTTTTAAAATTTTTTATAATTTTTAAAATTTTTTATAATTTTTAAAATTTTTTATAATTTTTAAAATTTTTTATAATTTTTAAAATTTTTTATAATTTTTAAAATTTTTTATAATTTTTAAAATTTTTTATAATTTTTAAAATTTTTTATAATTTTTATAATTTTTTATAACGATTTTTTTTATAATTATTTTTTTTTATTCATTCTTTACAAAATTTTTTTCTAAAGAATAAAAAATCATCGGACACTCCCAAAACTAGATATTTCATAATTTATAATTCGTTAATAAATTTATAAATTTATTAATGAAATTCAATTCCAAAAACTCGCGATGGATAATTAATTACAGATTTAATTATCTCAGGATTTTCAAAGCTTTTCGTGATTAAACAATAAACGGGTAAATAAATGCGGTTTTCAATAATTAATACAGCTGTAATTATTTATTGATTTATGGGGATTAATATAAATAGTATTTCGCTGGAAAAATGATGGATTTGGAGTCAATCAACAGATTGACCACCGCCCATTCGATATCTTTCGTGGGATCAGCGAAAATCATTTAATCATTTCCTAATTACCTTTTTCCTCCACTCCACCTCATCATTGGTAAGATCGAGTGGTTTAACAGACAAATCTCCACTCCCCTCGAAATCAATGTCAGGTCTCCTCTCCGGTAGGTTAACAACCCTATTCCTGGCACTTTGCCTAATAGGAACAGTGGGTGGACACTCATAACGACAATTCCTGAGTAAAATACCACAGACTCTGCTGTCACTCGTCCAATTGTAACAAGTGGAGAACTCATTGTTCCTCTCCTGAAAAATGGTGGCACCGTTCCTATCGCAGGCAAACTTAAGAGTCGGTCGCAATTCCTTCGGCAATTCTATTCTCTCGACGATGGGTACCAGCAGGAGTAATGAGTAGAATACAGCAGACAGGAAGCTGACGATGGCTATCATAACCCGGAGGTATCGCCCAGTAGATGGTTTTGAGCCCTGACAACTCGCCAGTTTATCAGCCACTGGGGCTACGATCAGGGGACCAATTATAGCTATCACTGGGGATATCATGGACACCAGTCGTGTCTCCTCCAGGGTCAGACCAACCTTTACCATGTGGAGAGGAAGGAATGGAAATAGACAGCCCATTCCTTTAACAATTTTTATTATTATTGCAAAAAAAAAACAGAAAATTGGGAATTTAATGATTCAATTCATGTAATTAATGTGTAATTAATGTGTAATTAATGTAATTATTAAGCGAAATAATGTGGTGGACTCACCCCCGAAGAAGAGGAAGAGCAGGCACTTGAGAGATATGAGATTAAGGTTCACCAGTTTTTTTTCAGGTGCATCCTTGACGGAGCCCATGGTTTCGATCGATGCCATAGACATTTTCGTATCGTTATATATCCAGATACCCAGTGAATTACAGGCCGACTCTCCTCAAGATCATCCTGAGGGCGTTGAAACCCCTGCTATGAAAAAGCAACATTTAATGAGGCAAGGGGGACCTGAAATTATGTAGGGAGTAATGATCTCCCAGCGGATGTCAGCGTGTCTTATCCCATTGAGAGAACGAGACTCTAATAAACGCGTCCTGCACTTACGTAATCCGACCAAGATAATGTCTGCCACTGGGTTTTTTTTTTTTTACTTACTACTGTAATCGATAGTACTATAAACATTGATATGAGTTGTTTATTCTAGTCACAAATGAGAAAAAAAATGAAAGGCAAAGGGCGAATGGGCGATCGTCTCGTGCAGTTCTTCATTTTCTTTGTGTAATTTTTATAGCTCTTTTTATTTCTCTGGATTTTTTTTTATTCCATCAGCCTTCGGGGCTGTCAACATTATTTATCGCCATCCGGTTGGTGTTCCATTGATTGACCAAAAGGGAAAAAATTACATGCCCAGGGAAAAAATTCTCTTCAAGGGAGAAATCACTTGGATCCGGTTCCAGAGAGCGAAGGGCTTGATTTTTTCAAGGCGTGATTTTTTTTGGTAATCCCCAGGATTTTTTTGGAATATTTCGTTTTGGATGAATTGGAAAATTTCCACAAGTGTTTTGGTTTGGGGATTTTTTTTTTCCGTGGTGGAGAGATCAGGGTGTATCCACCTGCCCAGCGGTTCATTAACCTTCCCTTTTTTCCTAGTCATGGGTTCACGTTTCCTCTCTCTGCTCTGCCAAGCCGAAGGCAATTATTTTCAGCGTGAGATGATATCTGGAGCGATGCACGGACTTTCCTTTCTGTTTTTTTTCTCATTCCGATATTTTTGTTCTGACCGACTCCCAGGGAAATGAGAATTTTTATCCTAGGGCTCCACGGAGAAGACGTCGGGTCCCGTAATTCCACGAAACGAATTTCAATTCACAAAGTTTTCTCATCAACACAAGAGATTAACTAACTCCTCCAGCGATTAGTTAATTAATTAATCAAATCAGTGGATTATTTAATCAAATCAGTGGATTAATTAATTAATCAAATCAGTGGATTATTTAATCAAATCAGTGGATTAATTAATTAATCAAATCAGTGGATTAATTAATTAATCAAATCAGTGGAATAATTAATGAATCAAATTCAGAAATTTTTCATTAATTTGTCTATTTATTTGAATATTCAAGTATTTTAAAATTATTTAATGATTCACCGACGTCATTATTCCCCGGCTATTACTCCGGACCTTCGAGAAAATTTATTTTCGTTCCGTGAGAACCTTGCGTTTGAAATCTTCGAAAACCTGTTATCAACCCGAAAAACTCATTAACGACTGTGCGTTGGAAAGCCCCGCCCCCATAAAACGTAACGAATGTGAACATTACGAGTAGATAAATACACCGGAAAATAACGCGCACCAAATCGCGTGTATTACCCCAGTTCCATCCACCTCCAAACACAAAAAAAAAATCCCTCAAAATTACGCGATACCATACCTCCAGACGAACGCGAAACGTAAAAATGGCGGACCGCGCCCGAAATTCAATGATTTCCCTAATAATTTGTATTTTTAATTTTTTTTAATAACGACAAGTAAAAATTGCATTACAATTCATTATATATCATGGGATAACATCCCATCGATAATTCGTAATAAAAATTATAAA